ATTATTGATTAACAATTTATTTTAAAATATATAAAAGCACACTTCATATACTACTTATTATTTACAAACTCTTGCCCACTAATTAGACCCATCAAGTCAAATACTCCCTCTAATATAATTTTCCAGAGTTTTTTCCCTGCTTAGCATCTACTACTGTGAATGGCTATACGCAATTCACAATGACTGTTTGCATTCAATCAACTAGACGCAATTTTGTTTTTGGTCATCGTCGTCGCTTCATTTTGCAGCTTTTCCGATTGAAATTCAAATTCAGGCGCTGCGTTAATTAATTGAAAATCAACACAGTCCAAGAAAAATACGCATACGCAGCGTGAGACATGCGCATGCGCATGCGATGGCCCGTCACAGATGCATGCATGGCATTCACCGCAAAGCCAAATGAGCAAAAAAAAAAAAAAAAAAAAAGAAGAAAAAAAAGAGAATTCTTCGCATTGAGCAATGGCCAACTAGCTGCACCTTGGATTTGCTGTCAACTGTTTGCTGTTAGCTGTTAGTTCGTATTGCGTTGGTTAATTAGGCATTCGTCTGTGGCTCGGCCTAAAGCATTTTGCACTAATTTGGAGCTCGCTGGCGTGCGCTCGCTCGATCGCTCGCCCGCCCCTGCTAACCGCCCCGCCCCTCCCCGATTGCCAAATGCGTCGCATTTTGCTGTCGACTAAATAAAGCCAGGCTGGGAGGCGACCGATGCCGATTTGGCATCTGATTTTATAACCCTTCTCCAGTTGATCAAATGATCGTTGGATCAATTGATCAATTGAGCGATTGAGCATAAATTGACATAGATAATTTTATGCTGCCGGAAAATAAGCGCAACCCGATTTTCGCGCGGCTATTGAAAGCAATTTTCACGCTGTCTAAAAACAAAACTGGAGCAGGCATCAAATCTTTTATTTATAAACTCAGCTCACACACACCGATACACGCACACACTCACAATTGTTATATTGACTTTAATATTTGCTAATAGATTTCACATAAATCACATTCTTGTGGCATGATTTATGCACAGGCAGCACAGCACAGGTGTCTCAGGTGTCTCAGCTGTCTTATGGCCACAATGTTGACTGCCAAGAGGAGGTTTTGCTCAGACTCCGACTCTCAACTGCAGAAACTTCAAAATGCTGCGTCATCGGCGCCGCTCGACCCTTAACACCTTAGCTAGTGGGTTTGATTTGGGCAAAAGTCACACGGGCTACAATAGAGATTGTAGATTATAGATTAAATAGATAGATTGCTGGAAATCTTATAATTAGAAATAATTAGACTTGGCTCTTTTATTAACACCTTATGTACGGAGTCCTCATCTATAGGTAGATTAGGTTTTTATCAGAGTCCGAAGGGAAAGAGAGAGAGAGAGAGAGAGAGAGAGAGAGAGAGAGATCGTCTAGAGCAGCTGAAGCAGAATTAATTTTTGAAAGTTCCAATAGAGAAAAATATATCTAAATACAGATAGTCAGAAAAGTTAAGATCCTAGATGAAGGTTATATAAATCAATTATTATTTTACCGTTATACAACACACATGATGTGACAAGGTTTTAATTGTATTATCAAAATTATGTTCTCCATTATACATATTTGTTAATTTGTAACTCTTATACAAAATTACTTAAAATTGTAATCTTACAAATATAATATATCAAAATTACATTGTCTCTAAGTCTAATCCGTAACTATGCCAATAAATTATAGTTTATCAAAAAGTAATACGCTGCCAGGCATAGTGTTACAATTATAGCCTCTTCTCTGAGAGCATTTCCCTTGTTTAGTTCTGGACAATCGCAGTGCTTGAAGCACCTTTTGCAATAAAGTGATATCACATACTCGTCACTAGTTTTTGCAGCAATTGTGTGACATATGCCATCTGAGCTACCAGAGCATATGGTAAAATTGAGAGTATCTAAAATACAGTTATAATGGATTATATATATAGAATGTGAATGAGATGCACAGTTACCAGTTAGTTTGTAGCCAGGATGAAGGCATTTATCCAAATGTTGGTTGGCTCCATCATTGGCTGTTTTCGGTACTAATTTGCCCTGATCCGCTTTACTTAGGATCTTTAGAAATTTGTGGGTAACTTTGCAAGGTTTAAATTTATTCTTGCATGTCATACACTGATTGCCATTGGCATTAACATCTATAAGATTTAGTTTTTAGTAATATCAAAATATATAGATGCTTACTTGGACTTAAATTTAGAAAGGCACAGGTCCAGTATATACAAAACACCATTCTCAAGACATCCATACTGGAATTTAGCTTATTCAAATAATAAAATAATTTAGAATGTCATCATTCAGAAAACTCACGAATTTTATGCCTATTCTATAGATTTGAAAATAACCTACTTTGATTTGTAAATATTTGAAATGGAATAATTAATGTCTGACAGAAGGGCGGTTGAAGGGGTGGAAAGAATAAGCGGACTGAGCTAAGTAGACTAGACTGATCAAGAATTCAGCAAGAGCTTGAATAGATAATGGGGTTAGATAACTAGGAAACTTAAATTCTCTGAGTTTTATAAGATGGTATACATTAGTTGAACTTTAACTGTTATACTGTTATACTACTGTTACGGTATAACAAATTTAAAACCAAATTACATTTGTTATGGATGAGATAATAAACATCGATAGCTAGAAAACTTTAGTTCTGTGTCTTATAAAAATAATAATAAATCTCATTTAATATTATAGTGTTATATATTTATTAATAATAAAATTATATTCGCATCTGTCATAGATTGAGCTTGAAAAAAGTCCATAGTCCCCACAAGGGTTAAATGCCTTAGACCGAAAAAGTCCCACGAGCTGCTTCTGGCCCGCTCTGTTGGCCAAAAGTATACGGCGTGGCTGGACACTACTTTGTAAAATGCAATAATAATAACAACAACATCAGCAACAGCAAATCACAATTTTTAGCATTTTTAGCAAACAGACAACACACAAATATGGTCAAATGTGGCACGCAGCAGTATTTTGGCCCGACAGCAGCCGCAGCAGCAAAAGTGAAGCTGAAATCTAAAAAAGATTGTTTTAGAAATTTGTTGTTTTTTTTTTTTTTTTTAGCTATGATAATTATGCAATTGTTGGCCGTGTCAAATAGTTGAGCAGCTGCGAATAATTAGACAACATTCTCGCCTGGATTCCTCAAACACACCCAAACGGACGAAATATGTTAGTATGTGTGCCAAACACTGTATGTTCTAAGCTAATTAAGTGGTTAGGCGCAAGGTTAAAAAGGCAACCAATTTGGTTACAAACGACACGCAAAAACAAATCAAAAACATGTAGAATTCTCCAATGAATGCTGCTTTCTAATTAGAAATCCCGAGCGAGCGCGCGGCTGCCAAAAAAAAAAAATCCCAGCCTGCCCCGTCTGACGACAAGTGGTCTGCCTTGCCAGCCAATCCAAAGCTGTTGCGTCATCCGCAATGGCAGCAACAACAACAACAACAGCAACAGCTACTCCAACACCAACAACAACAACAAGAATCGCATTCGGACGTTGTCGCTGTCGTTGTCCACTTCAAAGATACTTCACAAATTGGTGCTGCTCTGGCCCGCTTTGTTGACGCTGAACGACGAGATCGAAATCGAAATACAAATCGAAGTCGAATTCGCCAGGCCTAGGCACGGACTGAGTATCTAGCTAGTCATCTGTCCACCGTCCAACGTCCGCTGTCCGCTGTCCGCGTTGACTGCGTGCGTCGCGTTGCAGTATAAAAGTAACTGAGTGCACGCATTGAATTTACAGTTGCAGTTCTCAGTTAAAAGCCTAAACATGAAACTATTGGTAAGCCAAAGATATATATATACGATATATCCTTACTAATCATGTTGTGCCTCTGACAGATTCTATCCACTTTGTTGGCCGTCGCAAGCGCTGCACCCGGCTTGCTGGATCTAGGATTGGGACACACCGCGCCCGCCATTAGCTATGGACATGCTGAGCCTGCGATTACTTATGCCCATGCAGCGCCTGCCGTCACCTATGCAGCAGCTGCTCCAGTCATCAAGTCGTATGCGCCAGCTATTAGCTACGCAGCGCCAACTGTTGTGAAGTCATATGCGCCCGCTATTAGTTATGCTGCACCTGCTCCGGTCATCAAGTCGTATGCACCAGCCATTAGCTATGCTGCTCCTACGTTGGTCAAGTCCTACGCTGCACCAGTCGTCAAAGCCGTTGCTGCTCCAGCCACAAGTTACTCTCATTTCAGTTCGGTAAGATTATTTAAACAGTGAACCAGTTCATTTAGAACAATTATAGCTCAATTGTATTAGATTATCGATATTTATCTGTATATACATTGGCCGATATCTCATTCATTTTGAATCCCATCAAACGGTCATTCTCATCGACAGGTTGTTTCCCACGCCACGCCCATCATCAAGTCATATGCAGCCGCACCCATTGTTAAGTCATATGCCGCACCGGCTATTAGCTACGCTGCCCCAACCGTAGTCAAGTCCTATGCTGCTCCAGCGATCAGCTATCAGCCAACATTGCTAAAATCATATGCTGCACCAGCTCTGACACTGGGCGGATACGATGATCACTATGGCTATCACTAAGAAGCCACTGTCATCTCCAGTGCGTGTTTTGGGTAGAGATGGCCACAATGAGGCGTACAAAGCAAGGGGGAGTAAGTAACGAGAGATTGAAAGAGAGAGAATGAAAAAGAAGTTGACAGCCGCACGTTTTCCAAAACTTATATTTTCCAACAAATTCCCATATTTCGTATATTCTGTATTTATTTAAGGCCCCAATTATTGCAAATAAAGAAAAATTACATTTTTCAAATGCTGCTATTGTTGCTTTTGTCTTTGTAAGCTGAAGATATGATTTACTGTGCAAACATCTGCAAGCCTGGAGTCACTTGCAGAACCGATTATTTTATTTATGAGTATCGATAGTTTTAAAAGCTATGCGGCGAAAAGAGAGCAAGATACATGGAGGATTAGCAAATGAAGAAATATTTTCTAATGCCATTTCGATTTGATTAAAAGTAAATTATTTACTTTAATGTGCGGATATATCGGTCGTATTTAGTATAATGAAGCAAATATTGACACCAATAAAACTGCCATTGTTTAGAACTTTAGCAAGTTGACGCCAAGGTCGAGCTTGAGAATCGCAGAATTCCGTTGACTATGGAAAAGAGATTTTGTAAAATTATTACACACAAAATAGCTCAACTTACATCTGAAATACGAAGTCCCAGAAATAAACGCAACGGGCTCCAATTCATCAGGGACAAAAGCCAGGCTGGCGCCTTGGCGCGAGGTGGATAACGTTCCAGCCACATGATGGCGATATGCAGTAAATAACAATAAACGGAAGCGCGCATAATGTGCTGATAGGCTGACACTGAACAATAATTAATATTTAATACATATACATATAAGTTCTGAGTAGAATCTATTATAAACTTACTGAGAGGCGGCACATAGTGCGGCGAGGCATGGCGCGTCAGATACATGAGACCCCACGCCGTTAGCATGACAACAATAAGAATGAGAGCGCCGCGTCGATATCCACGTAAGAGAAATGAGAGTCCTAAGAAGATTTCACATGCTGCCAAAAGAAAATTAGTTAAATTTCATCATAGATAAGATTGAGAACTCACCATACAATGGCATGGCAAAGACCAGTCTGTAGAAGTTGCCATTCCGATGCAATGTGAATCCTATGGCCACATCGCCAGACATTGTCTGCAGTATACCCTTGGGCGTATAGCGCAGGGTAGTTGCATTCTCTACATGCACCACGGCTATTTTTACAAAAGTCCATCCAGAGGGAGTGTTTACATGTTCATTGGGCGTCAGCGGCTTTCGTTCATTATCGTGGGTTAAAGCAATCTTTGCCTGGTTCTGATCGATGCCCAGTTGAATGTCGCAATTGATACGCTCATCGGGCCAATTACGCTCTGTGTCCACGCACCATGTCGTCGCTTCCCAATTATTGGCCATGAGGCTGACGTTGCCATTGCTATAAACTCGCAATTCAAAGTCTTTCAATGCGGTACCCAACGACTCCAATGCGCCACTAAAAGAAAAGGGAAATATTTGTATATTTGTGTTCTACTAACATTAAATAGAATAACTACAGAGCTAGCAATTGGCAATCCAACAAAAATTAATCAAATCCAAGGCTATCGGCGCAATTAAATTTAGTTTATCGATTACCCGATAGCTTGTAAAATACTTGCTTATCGCTTCCGTACGTATCGGTCATCCGATAGTAGTTTGTGAAATCTTGGTTTAACAGCTTATCAACCGATAGAAAATATAATCCCTTTTAAGCGGATGAATATCAAGAGTTGGATATATGTATGTATGCTATCACGAGACCCCAATCTTCAACTACATTTAACAATTGAAAAATATATATACATACTTTAGTATCACCAAATGAGGTGTCCATATTTGTAATAGCGGATGCTCAAACGATGTCAGTTGCCCATAGCTCTCCGGTTGCCAGCGTAGTCGATCATCTTGCCAGTGCATCATCAGTTGCATACGCGCATGCAAATGGGCACTAGATGGATCGTAAGCTAGCGATTGCATTTGAAAATTAAACTGAACCTCAGTCAGATTACTGGGCAAGCTGCTGTTCAATGCCTGATATATTAAAGCGTCCAGCAAACGATCTTCAACGGATTGCTCATGCTGTTCCCGCTCCATTTCATTCGCTACGAACACATTTGAGATAAGAAAATTAAAGATTCGAACTCAAGCTAAATTCACTTACTAAATCCATCAAAGGCGCAATCATAGAACCAGCGCGCGGAGTTCATTCCAAATGTGCTGAAGCTGATGTAGTTGATATTCAGCGGGGAGGGATCCATATAATGAAGCAGTGGCTCCTTCTTAAAACCAGGAATGTAGACATACAAGTCACCATCTAGAAATAAAAATATATATTATTTTATAGGCTTCAATTCGTTGAGCTCTACCTTACCTTTAGTTTGAACGATTTCAATTGGCGTTGGTTCATACACCGAAAGTAATTCAATATCTTGATTTGTTGAGACTCGCTTCATGCCCATGTTTGTGCGAATGGTCGAAAATGTATCTCCGCCAGCTCCAATTACTGCGATTATATTAATACTAGATATATACTAGAATTTTATGCAAATTTTCTTGACTTGCCAATTTCGTATACTCGATCCTCGGGACGCGGGTGATTTGTTACCGAAAGTAATATATGGGCATCCATGCTCGTCAACACATAAAATTTTAAATGTAGGCGCTCATTGGGCAGGATATTATTATTATCCAAAGTGTGTATCATAAAAAAATCTTTGTATGCATATCCAGCGAATTTATCAATTTCAATGCTGTCGCATGTGTCCAACTGTGCAAAGCTGATATTATAACGGCCCTTCGCGTTGGCCGGATGCAGCGCTAGTGCCAGATATAAGAAAACACTGATAAGCCATTTTTCATACAACTTCATTTTTATCCGAAGCGCATAGCATTCGTTGTGGGCTCAAAAAACAACTGAAACTTGCGCGCCCCAATCAGCACATCAAAGTAAATTATCGAATCTACGCAACTTTGCATTTTTTCATCGGGTTCGCTGTTCACTGTTTTATAGCTGTTAGCTATTGACAGTAAGTAACAAAATATATATTTTACCAGTGAACTGTGAATGTTTTTGACTGGCGCCAATAAATATTTGAATATACATAATTTATTTTATCTTAAACTACTCCTAATTGTTATTGTCATCACTTCATTATGAACCATATCAATTTTTCCTGTTGCGAATGTAGGATACCCCCAATATATTTGGAGCCACTTTAGTTATTTGAACTGAACTTAATGAACTAGTTTCACGTATCTGAACATAATCAAAATATACATTTCGATTTATCGATATTGATTGGCCATTCCTAACATATCGATACGATAGACTGTCTGTCGCATTGAGTTAAATTTTCATTTAAATTTGATTTGCATTAAATCCGCACGTAGGCGTTACAAAGGTGAACTGCTAGAGTTGCCCCATTGGCCATGCCGGACGACACACAAGATGTCAAAGCCCAGAAACTGGCGGCGGCTCGCAAAAAGGTAAAATGAAAAATACATCATGACGTGGACACCAACACACACTGCCTTGTATTGATTTTGGTGATTGTTTTCCAGCTGAAAGAGTACCAGCAACGCAACAACAACAACATTGAGGAGAACATTGGCACWAACACCAATTCGTCAACAGTAAGCATTGCGAGCAATTTATCCGAACGTTCTGATTGCGAATTAAGCTCGAGCAATGGCGTCGGCAGCGGCAGCGGAGCGGCGCAGTCGCAACAAACAGTGGAGCAGACAATGCCAGCAATGCCCTCGGCAGCTGCGTATTTTTCCAAGAAAACGATGCCGACAATACAGCCAGAAACAGAAGTGCAATCCATTTGGCCGCTGAACGGACAGCAAAACGATACAAATTTGCAAACAATTCAAGTATTAATTGCAGAAAAGGCTCAATTGAATACGGAGCTAACGAAGAGCCGGCATCTGTGCCGTGAGCGAGAATTGGAGCTGGAGGAACTACGCACAGAGCATGGCCAGACCATGGAACGGCTTGACCAAATGCAGCAGCATTGCCAGGAGCTGCAACGTAACGCTGGACAGCAGCGCAATCAAAACGCTGAGCTGCAACACAAACTGGCGGTGGCAAGTGCTCAAATCGAGGACCAGAAGGCGCATCTCAGTGAGCTCGAGGCTCAGGTGCAGCAGCTCAAAACAAAGCAGGACGAACTGCAACAGCAGCACACCGAGAAATGCAATGAACTCGAAATGGCACAATTGCGCATTCGTCAGCTCTCGGACGAGTCGAATGTGAATGCAGACAACCGCGTCGAGACGCTAACCCAAACACAATATATGTATGAGCAACAAATACGCGATCTGCAGCAAATGGTGTCACAGCTAACGCAGGACAAGGAGCAGGCGGCAATTCAGTATCAAAACTATGTGGCCAGCCTAAAGGAACGCAACGCCGAACTGACCGAGGAGGCAGCCGAGCTCAAGGAGCGCGAGCGCCAGCTGGTCGAACATGTGAGCGGACTCGAACGTGATATACAAAAAAATTTAGCTCTGCAAGCACAATACAAGGAAGCAGCCAAGAAGGAAGCCGAACCAGTCCAGCCAGTACAGACCGAGGTGAGTGATTCTCTAGAAAGCTGCTTCCAGCTGCCTTTAACCGAGATCAACTTCTTTTAGACGGCGTCGAGTGCGGAGTTAGCTGCGTTGAAAGAGAAAATTGAAGATTTGGAGTTTGAGCGACACGAGTTCCTGTTGAAAATTAAATCACAGGATAATCAATTGGAATTGAAGGAGCTCAGACTTGTTGAGTTGGAGCAGGAGTTGGCACGACTGCAGACAGAACAGCCGAATCAGCTGAAGCTATTGGCCACGATGGAGTCCGATAAAGTGGCCGCCTCGCGAGCGCTCAGCCAGAACATGGATATGAAGCAGCAGTTGGATGAGCTGCAGCAACGTTTTGTCCAGCTGACCAATGATAAACTGGAGCTGGTCAATAAACTGGATGCCGAGGAGTTTGCCAATCGTGAGATGCGCCAGAACTATGCCAGCATGGAGCAGAAGCTGAAAGCGAATGAAGAGCGCTTCAAGTTCAAGGACGAGGAAATGATACGACTCTCGCACGAGAACGTCGAGCTGCAGCGCACGCAGCTAATGCTGCAACAGCAGGTGGATCGATTGAGGCATTATGAGGTGAGTGGAGACTGCCCAATTGGAGCCAGACGAATAAACATTTCTGCTCTTATTTACAGGCCAAGGTATATCATAGCAACGATCTAAGCGAAACGGATACAGCCGAGGGCACTGCGGAGCATGTGAATGAGCAGGATCATCATGAGCATGAACACCATCATGACGATCATCAGCATCATGATGAGCATGAGCACAAGCACGGTGACGATCATCATCATCATCATGAGCATAAGCATGGTGACGATCATCATCATCATCACCATGATCATCACGAGCATCAGGAGCACTCCCACGGCGATCAAGTGTCCACTTGCAAGACCCCCTTGTTGCCTACAGCCGATGCTGTGGAAAAGCTGCAATCCCGTTTCACCACACTCATCAGCAAAGTTGCAGATCTGACCGAGGAGAAGCAGAGCCTGGAGCATCTGGTGCTGCAGCTGCAAAGCGAAACCGAAACCATTGGCGAATACATCGCTCTCTATCAGACCCAGCGGCGCATGCTGAAGCAGCGCGAGTACGAGAAGGCCGCGCAGATGCGTCTGCTCAAGGCGGAACGTGAGCAGCTGCGCGAAAAGATCGATGCCCTCAACAAACTGGTGGGTAGCCTAGGTCTAGCCGTCGATCTTCCAGGCGAAACAGCTGTCGTCAATAACCAGCCGGAGCAGCAGCAGCAGCAGCAGTCGCCAGCAGGCGACAACGCAGCAGAGAATGAAAACTCTCAGCAGATTATACACAAAATACAGGATATTATAACGGAAATCAAAGTGAATACCGAACAGGCGCCCAGCACAGGACTGGCCGGTGGCCAGGCCGTGGACCATCTCAACTGCTGCCTGGGCAAGTTTGAGGTTGTCTGAACGCGGCCAAATCAGAAACTGCAAATGTTAACATATTGTATTCAAAGTGCAATTATTTGTTAAGCGTAATCGCGTTTTCGCTTCGACCAGCCTCTGTATAGGCTATACACTCTTTTTTGTATATGTTTCAAGAATAACGTTTAATCAAAGCAAAAAACTTTGGCTATAGCTCTAAAAAAAATAATAAAATATATTTAAAATTTATGTGTATGTTATACAAATGTTTAATATGGTGTCTAATTGTGAATTGATTTATATATACTATAACTTTTTATTATTTTCGCTGTATAATATGTTTGCTTATATATTTTTATCACTCCCTGAAGATAAAGATAAAGATAATGGGATAAAAAGCGATTCGTTGAATTATATAGTATAAATATAGAATTTGTACATATTTAATCCCAAACTTCTTTAATTCAACAACTATAACCTGGGCATATTTGAGATGGATTCCAGAAAGTTGATGACGGTTTTTATATTTCTAACGCTAATGCGTTTCTAATTTAAATCTATATATGAATCCACTTTTTTAATGGACAGTCCGAAATTTGTAAATTGATAGAAACTTGACTTGATATTATACGTAAGCAAAAGTGAACTTAAATATAAAGTAAATTAGTATAATCAATCAATAGCAATCAATTTCCGATATAAGTGATTCAAAAACAGATTTAAATAGGAAATATAGCTACACATTAAAAGATTAGTTGATGCATAAATGATCAACCGCAATTTCCAAGAGGCAAACAAACTTTTATTTACTTTGTGTTTCGTTGCGGAGTTTGGTCCGTAGGCTGGCTTCCTTCAGCGAGCTAGGCCGACAATTGCGCCTAGCACGACTGGCTATGGAGCCTTCGATGCTGGTATTATCCGCTCGGTTCAGACTAATGCCAGAGGTGGCTGTGCTCCTCGTACGTTTACCCTTTGTCTTTGTAGAGGCGCGTTGCCAATTTGAAATCAAAGTGGTTTCGTCTTGGCGCGGCGTGCTGCAATCCTCTGGTCGATTAGCAATGCCATTGAAACTGCTGAAATTCAATTGACTGCGGCGCGGCGTCAGCGTAGGTTCCGCTTTTAACGACGAGCACGGCAATGTGACCTGCATCGGTGAACTGCTTCGAGCAGCAGCTCTTACATGCTCTATGCTTGGCTCCTGTTTGCCGACGATACTCTCATGCCCTCCTATCATTGTCTTCGATATATTTTGGTCGCTGTGATCGAGTGAAGCTTGGTTCTCAGTCTTGAGAGAAATTTCTTTCGATGGGCTCAGCTCTTTGGCGCTCTTTACACTGGGAACAAACCTGGGTCGTCTTTTTTGGACATTTGTCATATCCCGGAGAGGCGACGGCGAAGCCTCCATACTAGAGATGGTTTCAGATGGTTTTATAGATGATTTCTGCAGTGTATCACTCGAATCAACGGACGAAGATGAGGTGTTCTCTTCATTATCGCTCTCTTCAATAATGGAATACATATAGCCAACTACAGTTGTCGGAGTCGGAGTTGGATGCGCTGGCTCAGGTGACTCTTGGACCTGTGGAGAGCTCGTGTTTGACTCCAGCTCTACCAAATGTCGTGGCTCTGGTGTTTTCCTCACGATTGTTAATTTTTCATTCTAAAACACAGAACCTATGTATGTATTCATTTCTCAAATATATATAGATATCTACTTACGCAAGGACTCATTGGAGTGGTGCTCCTTTCACTTGCCTCATCCTGCGAATTATTGCAGCTTGAGACGCTACTCCGACGCCTTCTAATGGGCGATACCGGCAGAGCTCTTTGAAGTCTTTCACTCGAACGACGCAGCTCCGAGCAAGCTTGTCCATTGTGGTATGAGCTGGACTTGATATTTTCTGATGCCTTTGATGTTTGAGATGTGTCTTCGTAGTCTTCACGGCTATCTAATTTTAGGTCTAGGGAATGAAGCAATGTCCTAATAGCGCATTTCAGTTTCTGTTCATTGTATTGAGCGTCAGCTAAACGTATTTCTCGTTCTTCCAGCAACTGCCTTTTGAGTAAAACTTCTGTTTTCAGCATTTCGGCAATAGTTATACGCTGCCTCTGGACTTGATCCATCAATTCAGCATTTATTATTTTGTACTGCTCCATTTTATACACATTTGTTTTTATATATCACAACACAACGAAGCTAGTTTTGAGTTTGGCGTCGATGCTTGAAATAATATCGATTATTACAGAAAATAAAATGCTGTATCGATAATTTATCTAAAAGTCCGAAAAGCAAACAACGATACTTTAGTTACATTTTTGGTATTTAGTTATCAAAATTGCTATTGCCATTCTCTATAGCACTTTTTTTTTTTTTTTTTAAGTTTTCTGTAGTCTTCCAAACATTTAAAGTTGCTGAAATGGAACAATATAAATTGATAAACGCTGAATTAATGGATCAGGTGCAACTTCTGCGAATAACTAATGCTGAAATGTTAAAAACAGAAATTGTACTTAAAAGGCAACTTATGGAAGAACGTGAATTACGCATAGCTGACGCTCAATACCATGAACAGAAGCTGAAATGCGCTATCAGAACTCTGCTCCATTCCTTAAACGTCAATTTATGTAGTCACGAATGCTCCCTTACATCGCAATCATCAAATGCATCAGAAAATGTCAGGTCCAGCTCATACAACAATGGACAAGTTTGCTCGGAGCTTCGTCGTTCAAGTGGAATACTTCAAAGAGCGCTGCCTGTATCTCCCACCAGAAGAAGTCGGAGTAGCGTCTCAAGTTGCAAGACTTCGCAGGATGAGGCAAGCGAATCGAGCACGACTACAATGAGTCCCGGCGTAAGTAGATATCTATATGTATTTGAGAAATTAATACATATCTTTTGCCTTAGAATTATGGTATACCAATCGCAAGGAAAACACCGGAGCCACGACATTTGATGGAGCTGAATATGAGCTCTCCAGAGGTGGAAGGACAAGAATCAGCTGAGCAGTTATCACCATCTGTTGCTCATATATACTCAATTAGCGAAGAAAGCGATAGTGAAGACAATACTTTGGCTTCCTCCATGGAATCGAATGAGACACTGCAGAGATCGTCAGCCTATGGCAGTACCATAGACATATCTCCATTGCCCCCGATCAATGTGACCAATAACCATAAAAGAGCTCTGCTCGTTCCGAGAGTAGAAATCACAGAAGAGCGCAGCCCTTCGAAAAACACTCAAAATGAGACTGAAAAATGTAATTTGAGACAAAAAAGGATTACAAAACTGATTTTAGATCATCTTGAGCCAGATGTTGGCAGTCAAGAGCCACGGATAGAGAATATTGGATATGCTGTTCAAGCAAGGTCACCGTTACAGATGACATTGCCGCGCACGTCGACAAACACGGATGCACTTACGCCGCGACGTGCCCTGACTGACATGACAAATCGACCCGTAGGCCACAGTACTCCTCATAAGCAGAAGCAACTTTTTAATACAAAGTGTAGCCCGGTGCCTAGTCAGACAGACGAATCTAGTATGGAAGACTCCAGGTTTGGTCGTCCTAGGCGTAGTTGTCGGCCAAGCTCACTCAAGGAACCTGACTGTCGTTCCAAACTTCGAAACAAAAACAAAACCAAATGAGAATATTTTACTTAATGCTAACTTATTTACTTAAAAACTTGTATGATGTTCCTGTTATGATTTAAATTGAGCCTTTACACTCGAAACAATATATGTTAAACTAGTTAATATCCATTTATAGAATATTTATTTTAAAGTTTGGATTGATTAAGTTCAAGAAACCAATTTAATTGTCTAGCTGAAAGTTTGCGTTGTACGTTAAAACTCTATTAAGCAAAAATTATTTATGATTCAATGTTTTCAAATTTAGGAAAAAAAAAACAAAATAAATATGTTACGTTAAATATATTATATTTATTCTTATATATT